AGAACAAACAGGTCTGTCCCAGGGAAAGTGAAACCAGGGTGCTCCTTGAAGGCATGAATTTTGAAACTCTTTCTTGCATAATTTAGGCATATTGTAAGGAGGGGCCAGTCTTTGCAGAAGGACATCATGCTGGGAAAGGTGGAGGGTCAGCATAAGAGATAAAGACCCTTAATGAGATGGACTGACACAGTAACCGTAATAATAAGCTCAAGTGTATGGAGAGGATAACATAAAATAAAGCGAGGTTCAAAGCCAATGTTGAAAGTTTTGCTATGAGTCATACTTGACCCAATGGCACATAGCAATAACAATATTTATTCTTTTCAACATGTCAATAATTAGATACGAGTTTATTATCCTACTCAATTTAATTCAGTCAATAATACCATGAGAAAAAAAAATCCAAACTATTTTTATCCCCAATGAAGAGTTAAAAAAGAGGTTAAGTAACATCTGAGAGAATATAGATGCATGGTAACAAAAAACCCCCCTCAGATTAGGTAGTTTGACACAAAATCCCAGTCTCCTAATCTTTGTTCTACTACTACCTTATACTGCTTTCTCCCTTCTCTGAACTGTTTGAATAAGCAACTCTTTACAAATTTGATTCATAAATACTTACAGATAATTTGATATAAATGTATTTGATACTCCCAATTAGTATATAAATTCCTTGAGATGAGTACTAAATCTACTGAAACCTTATAATATGTTTTATCTGCTATTTCTATTAATTTGGCTCATTATTATCTGTACATTACTGATTTTACTAATATGGTTAATTTCTCTTTCCATCTATCACATTTAAGTGTTAGACTTTTAAAAGAAAGAGGTAACATAATATGGTGAAAAGAATAGTTGGCTAACAAAAACATCTGGAGTCTCTGTCTCCAAAAAGGGATATGACCCTTAGGCAAATCACTTAGCCTCTCTAGCCCTTAAGTTACCCATCTGTAAAGAGAAGTGGCCTAGATAGACCTAACAGTGACTTCAAGTCCTAAAAATACTATTATTCCATCAACCTTTACAATGTGTCAAGCCAAAAGGAAAAAACCAATTCTTCCTTAATACTTTGGCTGCTCAAAGTACCTTCCTTAGAGCACTATTTCTTTTGGGGAATAAAGACATATCCCAGAAGAAGATATGACCAACATATATGATTTGTTAATGCTACTACATCCAAATGGCACAGTTTAAATAGATAAAAAGGCTACACTCTGCTCTTTAAGAAGTATGTGGACTTGTAGGGGAGGGATTGTATAACAACGAAAGAATTTTTCTTTTACTTTTCAAAGAGAAGAGTGAATTGGAGGGGAGGAGCGGGCAGGGAAAAAAGTCCAACAATGAATGGATGGAAATCCAAAATATCTCTACATTTTCATTTAAAAAAAATTAATAATAACTTAAAAAAAAGACATTCAGTTAGAATCCACCAACTGCTCCATGGGGGGTGGGGGAAAGAAATACATTAACTGGAAGAAAGCAATGAAAAAAATTCATTTGTTAAAAATAAAATAAAATATTAGGGCAGGAAAAGGTAGACTCCAATAAGGAGAATTTGTAGAAAAAGGAGAAAACTTAATATAATAAATTATGTGATAGATAGTTTGAAAAATATTAATTATGTAAGAAAGGCAAATAGTGTAAGAAAAAATTACAACCAATATCAACTCCAGAAAAAAATAAGTGAAAGGCACTACTACAAAACACACACTACTCTTCTTATGAGGACATTGTTTCAAGATAACTAAAAAGCAGAGCTAGAATTATATTTGTATGATGGAAGAAGGAAGTTATAAGAAATATAATAAATTCTTAACTAACATAATAGGAAAGGAGTGTTGGTAGGTAGAATGTAATATATTGGATTATTAATCAAAAGGTTACTAGTTCAAGTCCTTTCTCCTTGAGAGAAAGAGAGGCACTCTCCTCCCATAAAGATTTATTATCTCATAAACCTGATGGAGGGTCACTATGGGTTTACCATAATAGGAAGTAAACACTTTCCCTGCAAAAGATGAAAAAAATAACAGAAGCATGCTATTTAAAAATATGGATGTGACTAAGGGAAGTAAACATGTATCTGGCATATTTGAACCTTGCTTTCTTATGACAAATGCGATTTTGTCTTAGAAATAAAGAAGACAAGAAAACTAATGGCCCATTTGTACTACTTACTACTCATCCCTTCAGACCTGTATCCATAACACTTGACTGACAAGTAAAAGACCTAATATTTTAAAAAAATCTTTGCTGACTGAGTGACCATTGTAAAGTGAAATGAAGATTATCTTGATACAGAGTCAAAATTTTGCACTGAAAGTAAATATAAAGATTCTCTAACTCAGAGCTTCCCAAATCAGTGTTCCATAGAATATTGCATTTTGTGATACGAGTGGCATCCTGCAAAAGTGTTTGAGGCTCAGGTAAATTTATGGAATCTCATATTAAGTAAAATAAATCATGTTTACCAGATGTCTTGGATTATTTTCCATGCTAACATATATTGGGAGTCCCACAAAAATAATTTCGTGTTTCTTAGATGAATTTGTTCCTATAAATAGTCAAGAAATCAAAAGAACTCTTGCATTCGGTAAATCTTTTGTCAAGAACTTCTCCAAAGTGCTGAAGGGCAAAATGTCAGTTTAAAGACTAAGGTATACCTGATTCAATTGGTCTTTCCAACTATTCGTTATGCATCTGAAAGCTGGACAATTAATAAGGACGACAAAAGAGGAATAGATGCCTTTGAATTGTGTTGTTGGACAAGAGTACTGAATATCTCATGGACTGACAAAAGAACAAACAATTATGTCTTAGAGAAACTGCAACCACCAGGCTCCTTAGAGGCTAGGTTGATAAACTTCATCTCACATACTTTGGGAATGTTGTTAGGAAGGCCAGTCTGAGAGGAAAATCCTCAACATGATAGATTGGCATGGTGACTGTGACAGTGGGCTCACATATATCAGAGATGATGAGGATGTACTAGGAGCTCTGGAGGCCTTTTCCATAGGGTTGTGCTACTAACACAAAGGTTGTGCGTCTCTGGTGGTTCAAACCACCAATAGTTCTGAGGGGAAAAGATTAATAACTTCTTCCTGATTTATATACAGCCGTAGCAACCAAATGGAGGCTCAACTCAACAGCAATGAGTTGGGTTGTGCTGACTGCTCTAAAAGGGATAACAGTATAGGTTTCTGATATAGTAGGCAAAAAATGCAGAACAAATCACAAAAATTATAAGACCCATTGGCCTGCTAGAGACTGGTGGCACCTCTAAGGCTGTGTCCTTTAGTGATCTTTTCAAATCTGGAACAAAATTCACTCCCATAGCTCAACTTCCAGCCTAACATTAGACAAGTCTATAAGGTGAACAATAACACCAAGGACACATTTACTCCTTAGAAAAATTCAACACATAGTAATAAAAGGGAAGCATTTGCCCTGCTCAGAAGGTAGAAAAGGGGTAGCCAGGAGAGATTTACAGAAAGGAAAAATCACAAAGAGGAAATGAGAAGAATGTTGCTATATTGTGAACATTGTAATAAATGTCATCAAATAAAATATTCATCAGTGGTTGGTTGACTATGAAACAAATTTGCTTTGTAAATTTCTACTCGCTTCACAATAAAAGGAGAAAATATTTGGTCTTAGAAATCTATTCTGTCCTAGAGGGTCATTTTGAGCTAAAATTGACTTTTCTTTTTTTTCTAAAGAGCTTAGGAGGAGCCCTGATGACAAAGTAGTTAAGTGTTAGGCTACTAAGAATGATTGAAACCACACACACACACACTACACAGGAGAAAGATGTGGCATTCAGCTGCCATAAAGATTTAAAACCTTGGAAACCTTATGGGGCAGTTTTACTCTGTCCAGAAGGGTCACTATGAGCCAGAACCAACATGATGGTATTAGGCTTGTTTTTTTCCATTTGGAAGAAGAAGCCTTAGGAAGTGGGTCCAAGTATAGTGTCACTAATTCACTGGACAGCAGAGTGTTTAGGAGGTGGGCCTAATTCTAGGCTGGATTTCAAGCATAAGTCCCAGACAGGAGCTGAAAACCAGTCAAAAAACATAATGGATAGCAAGTTTCAGTGTCAATGAGACCCCCAAGTAAACAAAGGCAATGTGAGTATGAACCACTCAATTTACACAGTACTTTCCAATAAACAAACTGCTTTGACAATAAAATTTTCTTTCTAGTGAGAAAGACAAGGGTGGGGTTATTTTACCCATTTTCTGGAAGAGGAAACTGACTCCCAGAATCAAACGACCTTCCTGTGGTTACACAGCCAAGTTAATGGCAGAATTGGAATGAGAAGCTAAATTTCCTGTTTCTGTGGTTAGAACTCTTCTCAATATATTACACAATCTGTGCAAAGTTTGACAGAGTATCAATTTAACTATTCAAAGACGCATTAGATATATTAAACAACAGTTGAAGTCCAGAGTGCTCATAGGTGGTGGCAGAAGAAGCTCCTGTTTAGCTTCAGTACAATAATACCTCCAACAAAGAGGTTTGGAGCAAGGGAATCTTGGAAAGTTATCTATAGAAAGATGGCAGATAAGCATGAACTTTATGGAACTAGTAGAATTTTACCAGGATTGAACTTGTTGTCCAGGGAAGGTACAAGCAAAGGCTTATGGGGCTGGCAAACTTAAGTTTGAATCCTGGCTCTTTCACTTACTTACTCTGTGACCTTATTCACTATATACTCCTATGCTTCATTTCTTCCTCTGTAAAACTGAGCTAAGAATATATATATTGCAAGGCTATTGAGAAGGTAAAGTAAAGGATCAGAGGGGTAGGACAGCAAAGAGGTTAAAAGTACAAATTCTTGGATTTGAAATTCATCTCTACTTCTTGTTCTACTATAAACATGAATTACTAGATTTAGAAATATTTTTAGAACTATGAAGTTCCTATAAAGATTAGGAAGTATCTGGTTTTATCCATCTTAGACTACAAGTAGAAAATATAAGTGTCATAGACTTTACCAGTAGAAAGCAACTTTATCTCCAAGTTTTTTCTCGTGGACATTTCGGTCCAGCACATTGTAGCATATATTGGTAGTTGCTCCTTTCATCCACTCAATGAAGATTTTCCCTTTAGTCACATCAAAGTTGTACTGAAGAAAGGGTCCAGAGCATGGAGTCTTCCAGTAAAATTCCTTGGCTATGCTTCCCCAAAACTCTGCAACAGAAAGAGAACCCAAGGAGTCACTAAGTTTCATAGGCATAATTATCTCAGATGCCTGTCTAGTCTATGAACATGATCATGTTACCATCCTCTCCCCTATTATCTGATTCCCTCTACCTATGCAATCTTTTCACCTACCATTCAACAAATCCATCTTCTATTCTCACGAGCTGAATCTTGGCTCACAGTTCCTACTTCTCAAAATTTCCACTTCATCTTTATGGCTTGAATTAGGTGTCCAAAAATAAGTGTTATAAATCTTAACCTCTGTGCTTGTGGTTATAATCTCATTTGGGAGTGGGTTGTCTGTGTTGTGTTAATGAGCTAGGATTAATGGAGGATGTCTTCACTAATCTCCTCTAAGGTATGAAATGGATTAAACAAGTATGAGAGAGCAGTAAAGCCATACTACAAGAAGACTAATCATCCAGGAACAGAAGTTAAAAGAGATAAAGACTTTCCTCAAGAGTCAAAATAAAATGTTTTCTCCTGAAACTGGTACCCTGAACTCAAATTTCTAATTTCTTACAGTGTGAGAAAATAAATTTGTCTACAATTGTCATTAATTGGTGATAATTCTGTTTTAGCAGTACTAGATAAGTAATATAGTCTATTCAAATCCTGGACACCAAGAATCTAGCACAATGCCTCGTATATGTATGAAAAACCTGCAGAATGTCTGAGCCTGTGTTAGGCAGAAACTTGTCAGAGGTGGAAAAATGAAAATATTTTCAACAATTAGATAACAATAGAAAAGTAGTGACACTGCATTCTGTCAAAGGCAGAAAGCTTGCAAAACCTGGAAAAACAGCAGTTCTGTCACATTCCAGCTCTCAGAAATTTAACTATAATAAGCAATTAGTTATTAGTGAAAGTTAATTGTGAAAGGAATAAGTCCTTCATCCACAGAGCCTTTTATAACCATTTTTCTTTTCTTAATTTTTTCATTCATTTCAAGAATTACTTATAAAACATCTACTTCCATCTCCTCAAGAGTTACTTGCTATAAATCTGCAAGTGTCAGATATTACAATAAGTCCTTTATGTATATTATCTCTTTAATCTTCACTACAACCTTATATGTTCCTTAGAGGCGAAAATGGTGAAACTTCTTTCTCACATATTTTGGTTACTTTGCCAATTGTAAAAACACATCATGCTTAGAAAACTGGAGGGTCAGTGAAGAGAAAGACCCTCAATGAGATGAATTGACAATGACTGCAACAATAGGTTTCAGCTTGGCAGGAATCAAGAGGATGGTATAGGCTAGAGCAAGGTTTCATTCAATCTGTTGTTCTCAGGGTCACTATGATTTGTAGTTGACTTGATGAAACCTAACAATAACAATTCTCATTATTTGGGGCAGATAAAGGGCTTAGAGAAGTTAAACAATTTCTCCAAGTTTCCCCAGTTACTAAGTCAAGATTTTAACTTCTCTTAGGAAGAGACATTTTTGCTAAAATATGCAACATTAATAAGAATTTTTCCCCCACAATCTCACCAGAAAAGAAAGTGCTATGGGATGGAAGGAAATCAAGGGCATATGTTTGAGGCTGAAGCACTGAGAATAAGGGAAAGAATTATAGGAATTGATGCACAAATTGGATAGATCATGCAGTCCATCTGGGTATAAGGAACTGCAATTTATCCTAAAAGCAATGAGAAGGCACTGAAGGATTTTAAGCAGGAGAATGACATGATCAGATTTACATTTTAAAATACTTGCCTGGCTACTTTACAGGAAGCCCTGTTGGCACAGTGATTAGTAGCTGCGCTGCTCACCCAAAGACCTCACCTTTCTGGTGTTTCATATCTACCAATGGCTCCTCAGGGCAAAGATGTGCAACAATTTCCTCCTGTATGATTTACAGTCTTGGAAACCCAGTAAAGGGTCAAGTATGAGTCAATTCTGACTCAACAGCAATGAGTGGGTAGTCAGTGAATAAAAGAAGCAATCACAGAAAATTAAGAACATTCTCAGTACAGCTAGCATTCTGTATCAGCAGGCTTTCTGGGGATTCAGTAATTAAGTGGTCAGACACTGTTTCAAAAGCTAAGAAGGAATATAAAGTGCTATTTATATAGCAGTGACATTGTATTAGGTATTATAAGTAATCTAGAGGTGATTTAAACTATATGTGGGAGTAGCTTGTAGATTCAAAGATTCTACTCACATGCTTTGGGCATTTTATTAGGGGAGGCTATTCCTTGGAACGGATCATCATGTTTGCAAAGATGGAGAGTCAATGAAAGAGAAGAAGACTGTCAATGAGATGAATCGACACAGTAATTACAGCAATGGGCTCAAGTATGTCAGAGAGGATAAGGATGGCACAGGTTAGGACAGGGTTCAGGTCTATTGTTCATAGGATCACTAAGTCCTACTTGACTTGACAGTACCTAATAACAATAACAAAAATACCATTTTATATAAAGGACATGAGAATCTATGGATTTGTGTATCTATGGGAAATTTGGAACCAAAGCCCTTTGTGGATACGAAGGGATAACTAAATTAGAAAGCAGAGGTTTGAATAAGAGACACTTATAACTTTAACAATAGATGGAATCTTAGAGATTATTATCCATCACTGTACAAATAAGAAACAAAATTCATACAGCCAAAGTAACTTCCACAGGTCACATAATTCAGAGTTTTCATAAACTAATTGACTTAGTAGTAAGAAGTTGTGCTGCCAACTCAGAGGCAAGTGGTTCAAATCTACTAATTGCTTTGAAAGACAGGCAATCTCCTTCTGTGTGATTTACTGCCTTTGAAAACCCACTAGAGGGTCAGCTAGGAATTGGCCCTCAATCAACAGTACATAGCATGACTTAATACAACATAACTGGAGACAAAGGATCAACAAAAAAGAGAAGATTAATATATGAAGTATTTTAAATGTATCATTGGAAAGAATATAACTGAAAGTTAAATTCTATAGTAAACAGCCTTGCAGTCAATCCAAATGAAATCAACACCAAAATGTCATTACAAATCTATAAAACTATCAAAAATAATCATGAAATTCAATGCTTGAGTATCCTTGGGGAGACATATTCTTCTACAATATCACTGTAAGAAATCAGTACGATTTCACTAGGTAGTAGGTCAATGCTTAATGAGAGCTATAAAATTTTCATACTTTTTATCTGCTAACTCAATTTTGAGGAATACACTCCAAGTAAACAATTCCAAAGGAAAAAAGTGATTACTATACAGATGTTTATAGCAGCACTGTTTATAAGAGTGAGGAGCTCTAGTGTCCTAGTGGTAGAGAGTTGCACCTTCCCCCAGTGCAACTAGTTTATTTCTTAACTGTTGGTACCAAGGGCGATGAGTGTGGATCCAAGTAAGATGAAATCATTAACAACTCCAATCTTCTCTACATCTATCATGATGTTGCTTATTGGTACAATGGTGAATCAAGCTGACTACATCTGTGGAAAGAATCATTAGAGAGGCTCAGTTTCAGCTGTGAAAACCATGCCAGGTGCTGATGATAGAATAGGCCATAAATTATTCATGTGCAAGTTAAAATTGAAGCTGAAGAAAATTGAGTCCACAAGGACCAAAATATGAACTTGGTATCCCACTTGAATTTAAAAACCATTTCAAGAATAGGCATTAAACACTAATGATTGAAGACCAAATGAACTATGGTATGGCATCAAAGATATCATTCATAAAGAAAGCAAAAGGTCATTACAAAGACAGAGGAGGAAGAAAGACCAAAATGGATGCTAGAAGAGACTCTAAAAATTACACTCCTAGAACATCCAGAAGCCAATACAAAGAGGGGTGGGGAGAAATATTAAGTAGGAGTTGAACAGAAGATGTCAAAGGGCAGGTCAAGAAGACAAAGTTCAAAACAACTATGAGATATCATCTCACTCCAGTAAGAACAGCAAAATTTAACAGACCAGCAAGCAACAAATGTTGGCGAGATTGTGAAGAAACTGAAACCCTTATTCACTGTTGGTGGGAGTGTAAAATGGTGCAACCACTGTGGAAGGCAGTATGGCGCTTTCTCAAAAAGTTGCAAATAGAGATACCATTTGACCCAGCAATTCCACTACTGGGAATATACCCCAAAGAGACCATAACTGACACCGAAGCAGATATATGCACACCCATGTTGATCACGGCTTTGTTCACAATAGCAAGGAGATGGAAACAACCTAAGTGCTCATCAACAAATGAATGGATAGAGAAGCTGTGGTATATTCACACAATGGAATACTACGCTGCATTGAAAAACAATGAACTCATGCAATATTATTCAAAATGGGTGACACTGGAGGACATTATGCTGCGTGAAATCTCAGTCACAAAAGGACAAATACTGCACGGTGCCACTGTTGTAAAACAAGACTGACATCAATGTTAGGAGTAGACTGAGAAAGATGGGATAAATAATGTTTCCTACATAGAAACAGATGAGGGAAAAAACTGTTTAAAAGGGATATGTGATTAGGTATTACTGTAATGACAGGAGTCTAGAACAAAGGCTTCATAGTGGGGTGGACCTGGGGGGAGGGATTGTAAAACAATGAAAGAATTTTACTTTTACTTTTCAAAAAGAAGAGTATATGGGGTGGAGGGGTGGGCAGGGAGAAAAGTGCAACAATGAATGAATGGAAAAAGAAAAAAGAAGACAAAGCAAATTATGAGCGGGAAAGTACTGAAATTTGGATGTTTTGTTAGCACAAATTAAATATTAAAGAATTTCAGAAGAGTAGAGAAAGCATGGACTGAGGTGATCAAGAAATGAAAAAAAAAAAAAAAAAAAAAAAAAAAAAGAAATGCTCTGCAGAAAGTCTTATACAATGTTATTGTATAAAATCAGAATAGTATTGAATAGCTGGGCAAAGACTGACAAGAGCTATAAAACTTTTTATATACCTTTATTTGTGACTTAAACTTAGAGGACTGGATTAGTGGAATTTGATAGAGGAGTAGGAAGGAATAGGTACACGTGGAAAGGTGGAGT